GTGCCTGAGTGACCGAGCCCCAGGCCGAGAGGCCGGGGGCACCCCACCTCCGAAGTTAAAACCTATTTTCTGCACATTCCAGCACATAAAATAAAATATTTTTTGTGTTTACACTCAGTCTTTCAAATAGATACAAGTAAGACACAGCAGAACATAAATAAAGTCAAAGACTCAGCGGTCCTGTTGCTCTATTTTTACCTGTAAAGCAGGAGTGGGGTAGGCGGAGGGTTACCCTGGTGCAGGTGTGCTGCGGTCAGTGGAAGAATCCGTGACTTTCTCTGTGAGTTTCCCATCACGTCGTAGCTACTCGGTGCTTGTTGGAAGTTTAGGAAATCACAATTTTAGTAACGCTGTAACGCAGCGTTCCTACGGGAAAGTAATCCCTTACTTTACTCGTTACTTGAAAAAAGTGATCAGATTATCGCCCATCTCTGGACATGATCATATTAATATATAACAAACTATGCTGTAAACAATTAATGTTGTTCCGAAAAGCATGAGGGGGTCAATTCTGTAGCAAGTTGTGTCTATGAAAGTGTCCAGTGCCAGTATATGTAGGAATTAGCAGCAGCTTCCAAGGCTTGATCAACCTCCATTGCTACAGAACAATTTAAATTGTTAACCTATTTTGTGTTTACTGAAAAAGGCTTTTCTGTATTATTCTGAAATGTACGTTCAGTTTTGAGTAACCTTACCTTTTTTTTGTTTTTTTTTACCTCTGGCACTTCACCACTTACCTTTGTACGATTTCAAGCTGTTCATTGGACTTGAATGACTTGAATTGCAATAAATAACTGGAAAAATTGGGGTGTTGTAAAACTTTTGAGCAGTTGTTTACATGTGGTAAGAGTGAAAAACAAAACATGGTGTTCGGGAAAGTAGTCATTATTCCATTTCACAGATAGTTGCAAAATGAAAGCAGTCTCTCCCTGTGCTTTCCTCATCATTACATCTGTGTGCTGCCTTGTGGGAAGCAATGTCCATCAACAAAGCACATAACTGTGTAGTGGTTTTCTTTTTGATGCTAGTATTTTCTTGTCTGCTAATGAATGTAGTAAGCTGGCAGAATTCTTTGGCCTCAGGAGTGGTTAGGACAGTATAACTAAAGTGCAACTTCAATGTATTTTCACCACCCATTCAGGTTTTCTATTAATATGCCATGTTAGTGCTACCATTAAAAGACCTAGATGTAACAATATACTATTCACACATCATCAATAGCACTTTGAAAATTAAGCTATAAGTTGTCTGCACTGACAACGGATTTCAAACGTGTGAAACCTACTTCATATGGCGCCGAATCCTGCAGAGTGTGACGCTGTCACTGCAGCACATCCATCTTTATTCCCACATCTGGGATCTTGTGGATACACATTCAAAAATACCAGCCCTATAAAAAAGTGCTGAGAGTTGCATCTCAATCTTCACTTCATAGTTAGCAACTCTTTCACTCCCACCCTCACCCCACCCCCCAAAAACCCCCACATGTTTAGAATTGCATAAAAATAGTTTGTTGCTGATGCTTGGGTTTTATATAGTCCCAGAGCCATGTTCATGTAAATGTCATGGCATAGTGTGACTACCCTATCTCCCTTAGTGATCAGTCTTCAGTCAGAGTTCAGTCATTCAAGCAGAGCTGCTACTCCTCAATATCGAAAGGAGAAAGTTGAAGTGATACGGGCACATTCAATTTAATAAGCTAGGGAAGGTGGCTGAGGAGAAGAGGGTCAGGGCCTCTCTGTTTAGCTTGCTGTTCCCACCCAGCCTCAGATAAGCTGAAGAAAATGGATGGATGGATTTATACTATTTTTCCTGTTCTACATTAGGTATACCACAGATGCAAGGTCTATTCAGTGTGGAAAAATATGTTCTAAGAATAGCCGCTGTGTACACTTCAGCATTTAGGATTTACAAGATGAGGTTTTCTGCTAAAGGCTGAAACACCAGCATCTTAACATTTACTGTTACATCTGCTTGCCTGGATCTAGATCTTTGAATCTGTCTACTCTAGTTAGTTTACTATTTGGCCTGATATGAAACAGTGGATTCTCAGTCAAAAAAAAAGTCCAATAAGTGCCAGAAAAGGAATAGTCAAACAGCTAAACCGAGACTGCATGCAGTCCTCCCAAAGACTAACAGTAAATTGGCCAAATATCGGCATAAATCATCTGCTGATGGTTAAGAAGCTGTCGTAGACAGAAAATGGAATGAGAGTGGTGTTCACCGCACACAACAAGACGTGCCAAAGAAAAAACCCAAATAATCATAATTTAGCACAGATTACAAAATAAATGCTGGACTACACCACATATACTTAGAATTAAATACAAATAACTTAGCTTGTGTAAGTACTGGTTATGTAATAATAATAAATTGCATTTATATGGCGCTTTTTGGGGCCCTCAAAACACTTTACAATGCCACTATTCATTCACTCTCACACACTGGTGGAGGCAGCTACAGTTGTAGCTACAGCTGCCCTGGGCAGACTGACAGAATCACGCCAACACCAGCAGGTGGCAGGTGAAGTGTCTCGCCCAAGGACACAACGACCAAGACTGTCCAAGCCGGGGCTCGAACCGGCAACCTTCCGGCAACAAGACAAACTGCCAACTCTTTGAGCCACAATCGCCCTTGGATTTTCTCATTTGGAATAGAATAGAATAGAATACAATAAAATAGAATAGCCCATTATTGTGCTCTACACCGACTGTGCAGGAATAAAATGTAAATAGTAAGACAGCCGGGATAAATAACAAACATAAGAAATATATACAATCAACAGAAAGGCACATATTGGAGAATCACACTAATCATGTACAAGTGTCAAAAACTCACTAAAGCTTGTGTATCAAATATGATGTACTTGGCTTTACCAAGTTAATAATGTGGTCAGTGATAAGTGGGAGTGCTGCTCATCCTGGTCCAAGCAGTCCTTGCTTTCCCCCAAAAAAGGCCCTTTTGTCATCAGGAAATTGAGGATTTCATTAGTTCTGGAAAACCTGGTTTTAAATCACTTCAATGTCATAATTAATGTCCTTTACTATGTTCTTGAAATTAGCCCAAAAATGCTTTGAGTTTGAACCCCAAATTTACGCATTTATGACCACAGACATACAAGGCATGATAAGTCTTTTGTCTTATTACTATTTTATGCATTGTAAATGAATTGTAAATGAAGTCACCATAAAAGTGATTTTTGTCTTTTATTTTGTTTGCATGAACATACACATAATGTCTAAAAATGTGTTTAATTTTTCTACAGTAATGGCTCAGGGACATCAGAAGATCTCTTCTGGAAGCTTGATGCTTTGCAAACATTCATCAGAGATCTCCACTGGCCAGAAGAAGAGTTTGGAAAACACCTTGAGACCCGACTGAAGCTGATGTCTAGTGACATGATAGAATCCTGTGTCAAACGGTAAGATGAGGTGTGACTGCTAGAAAACAGTTGTGTATATATTGTAGTAGTGATATTTGAATTGAAAATGGGTTTGAAACATGACTATGGGCAGAAATCTGTGCCTTCAGAAACTGAATTTGAATAAGTTAAATTTGAATTTGAATTGCTCAGATTGAATCTGAATTGTATTTTGAATAAATGCTTTTAAAAACTGAATTTGAATTAGCCTAATTTGAAATTGCATTTATGGTTTGAAAATGATCATCACTAAATTGAAATTGAATTTTATATTTTGAAAATGAATTGATTTGCTTTGAAACGGCATTTTATCCTTTAAAAATTTTAGCTCCCGAATAATTTCAGATTCACTTCTCACCGTTCAGTTTCAGTTCCAAAATTCTGTTTTTTGGAACTAACATCCGGTTCCAGTTCAAGAGTAATCGAGTGCAGATTAATAGAACTACGTTTTACTAGCGGACCGAAAGTGTTACTGACGGGAATCTACAGCGTCTTGAGCTGAATTAAGACTTCAGAAGTCATTCGTCATGTCGAATGACCAGCGGAAAAACTCTCAGGTTGGTAATAAATGTATTACATGTATAAGAACAAGCGGCATGTTAACAAATGATAGCCGTACAGTAACTTTTATGCTTATTGTAGCTGTTAGCTAAAAACACTAATTTAGCGTAGTTTGCCCTGAATTCAGCTTTGACAACAAATATGATCGACTGTTTCTAGTAGAATTCCAAAGTTGTCATCTTGTACCCTCTCAGAGTACCCCCTCTGTATGCTTGCAGAGACCCCTACAGTAGGGAAACATGCAAAACGGTGTCCAAACCTTTGTGTTTTAGCTTTATTCATGTCTTACACAGCATCCCAACTCTTTAGCTGACTTAACAACTTTAGCTAAAGTGAATAGTTAGTGTAATTCATTAGTACAGCATTACTGGATCATCTCTGTTTGAAGTGATATAATATGATATACAACTATCACTGTGTTTAACTACCATAATAATTCTTAGGGTACTGAGCGCATGCTTAATTCGTTTTTTATGAATGAAAGGTGAATCTGAAATTATTCGAGAGCTAAAATTTTTAAAGCATAAAATACAGTTTCAAAGCAAAGCAAATGAATTCATTTTCAAAATATAAAATTCAATTTCAATTTAGTGATCATCATTTTCAGACCAATAAATTGAATTTCAAATTAGGCTAATTCATATTCAGTTTGTAAAAGCATTTATTCAAGTTACAATTCAGATTCAATTCGATTCAAATTCAGTTTCTGATGGCACAGATTTCTGCCCATACATGACTGGTAACATGTTTGAAGAATTACTATTACAGTTTTAGGGAACTATACTTTGTGTCAGGGGAGAGGAAGAGAGGGAAAAATATAAAAGAAATGAGTGAGAAAAGTTTTTCTTTTTTTAATAACTGAACAAATGTACTAAAAGGTAGTCAGAAAAAGTAAAAATACTTCTGTAACTGGGCTATTTTCATATTCATATGATTAGATTTCCTATATAATTGTTACTTTGGGTCATTATTGGGTCACACTTCTAAATGGCTATAGCCTGGAAAATTCCTTCACTAGGACAAGGACAGCCTTTGAGGCCAGGCTTCAGAGGAGCAGCCGGACCACAGACTTCCGAGTGCCTCAATCCATCTGCACCATGTTTAATGTCATGGTGGACGCCAAGGTCCAGTCAGCCAAGCTGTGTGCCATGGACCTGGGGCAGGAGGTAGGAAATACTAAATATCTCCCGTAAACGCACTTGCTTTCAGAGTGGATTTCCCTCCAGTTTAAAATGATTCATATTGGACATCACACAATTTAAATCTTGGATACACTTGAGGTCAAAAGTTTGAATGTCATGGTAATTTGGAGCTTAAATCTTTTAATAGATAGAGCTAAATGTTCTACAGTGTATTTTAACTTGACTTGAAGGTCCAGGACTATTCACTTCTTATTAGTGATCATGACTAACTGACAACTGGTAGTTTTTCTTTGCCACCATAAGGATTTATATTACTTGGCACAATCGTAAAGTCCAAAGACGTCAGTCTTGTAGATTTACAGGTCTCTTGAAGTTGCTTCTAAAAGACTGAAGACCACTAATTCAAACAATTGTATGTAAGTACTAGTTCTTTGGATGTATCACCACTTTGCCAAAGTTTCAAAGAAAACCCAAACTTTCACTCTGAGATGAGAGAAAATCGTTAGGTTGTTCAGAAACAACCTAACACAGAATTTGAACAGAATTTGAACGACCTTACACTAGTCACCCAACAATGTGATGCTGGATGTCTGCATTTTGAAACTACAATATTGAGATGATAGACTCCAGAATCCTGCAAAATCTTAATTCACCTCAGTGTTTTCATTCGTGGTTTTTGTTTGTTTGTTTGTTTTGTTTGCAGGTCATATAAACAAGACCAGGCTGTACAAAATATACCTTGATAGGTTGGAGCTAGATTTACTCATGTGCAGCGGCTGAAAGCCTTCTTTTGACATTCAAAAGATGCTGGATTTACTGAAAGTTTTGGGCAGGAGTATTTTTTTAAATTCACTTTCATGAGAAGAATATCACACAGGTTTTAGAGATGACATGCTATGAAAAATTTATTTTCACTCCTGAATAGGCAGTCAGTCCAGTCTTAAAAATATCTGCAGCTCATGCTATATATAATAACTATGCCACGGCAAATTAATAATTAAATACTATTTAGTGTAAAAACTTCCAGTGTTTCTTTTCAGTGGCTGATGTCAAACAGAGGTTACCAAGTGTAATCTACTGAGGGTGAACAGTCTAACATTTTTTTTCTTCCTCTTATTCTTCTGCAGAGGCAATATCACTCCCAAATCAACAATCTAATTGAGGAGACGGTGAAGGAGATGATTACTCTGCTAGTAGCTAAGGTACAAAAGTACACTACATGTTCCTAGCATGGTTTCAGTTCTTGTTGAAAAGACAAACAAATGACAGCAATAAGACCTAAACCAGGCATTCAAAACAACTACAGAGAGACATAAAATAACAAAAAGGCTCATTTTAAACTATTACAATTTCATTTAAATCTATGAATGCATGGTTAGCCATCCGGGTAAAGAAATCATCACTCATCTGGACATAGGATTTTCAATGGAAGAGATGTTTCATCACTCATCCAAGTTAGCTCTTTAGTCTGAGGCTAAAGAAGTCACCAAAAGACACGAAAAATTCAAAAGCACCATAAAGACTTAATGAGATGAGATGATAACGACAAGAATCCAATTTTATATACGACTCACAATTTGTGATAGCTTATGTTCCCAAATGTAAAGTCATTTCTCTGAGGCATCTTTTTCCTCTCTTCTTTCCTAGTTTGTCGTCATTCTAGAGAGTGTGTTAACCAAGCTTTCCAGATATGATGAGGGAACACTTTTCTCTTCTTTCCTGTCTTTCACAGTAAGTAGTACATGTGTGTGTGTGTGTGTATATATATATATATATAGTAGTTTCCTGTTTGATATATTTCCACTGCACTACATCAATTACATCATATTACATTATAATGGTGTGCTCAACTTAAAACCTCAAAGAGTTTCCTTTTCAGAAGAAAACAAACTATACAGTGTTGTGAAAAAAAAGTTTGTCCCTTCCTGATTTTGTATTCTTTTGCATATTTGTCGCACTTAAATACTTCAGGTCATCAAATAAAAAAATAACTACTAGACAATGATAATACAAGTAAACTCGAAATGCAGTTTCTAAATGAAAGTGTATATGACTAGGGAGAAAAAAACCTAAACCTACCCCCACCAAATATTTTAACGAAATCGTTTAACCTTTAAAGAGTTAAAAGAATTCCAGCAGTTCCTGAAAGCAGTGTCTCTATGCTTTTAAGTGATATTAGAGTCACCTGAGGTATGATGTCACAGCAGCCCTGTGAAAATGAAAGTTGTTTCAGAGAAGAGAGAGTGAACGAATGTGGTGGGGCTGTACAGACAACAGGCATTTTTTCGGATATTTGGAGTTTTATTTTTATTTATTTTTATTTTGCTGTTTGCTTTGTTGTTTTCTGTATTTGCTTAGATTCTGATGTGTCGACCTGCCTGGGATTACCATAATCACCCTAATATCACTGAAAAAGCACAGAGTTGATGCTTTCAGGCACTGTTGGAATTTTTAGATTGCGGCAATGCTCAAGAGCTAGATAATTGGACCTAAAACTTTGGATTAAATAGAAAAGGTCTGACAAAGTGGAGTACACCAAGAGATCCTCAAGAGCCAGACATCATGCCACAATCCAAGGAAATTCAGGAACAAATGAAAAACAAAGTAATTGAGATCTCTCAGCATTAAAAACTTTTAAAGCCATTTCTAGAGCTGCGGGACAGCAGCGAACCACAGAGAGACCCTTTATTTATAAATGAAGAAAACATGGAACAGTGGTGAACTTTACCAGGAGCGGCCGGTCGACCAAAATTAACCGGAAGCAAAGTGATGACTCATTCAAGAGGTCACAAAGGACCCCATAACAACATCCAAAGAACTGCAGGCTTCACTTGCCTCAGTTAAGGTCAGTGTTCATGACTCCACCATAATAAAGAAGCTGGGCAAAAATGGTTCCAAAGTGAAAGCCAAAAGCGATACAAAGACTCGTATCATTTTTCCAGAAAACATGTTGATGCGTCCCCATTACATCTGGTGTAAAAGTAAGACAGCATTTGAGACAAGGAACAGCATACCAACAGTAAAATATGGTTGTCTTACTATGATGGACTGGTTCTGTTTTGCTGCCTCAGGACCTGGAAGACTTACTATGGTAAATGGAACTGTGAATTCTGCTGTCTACCCAAACATCCTGAAGGAGAATGTGACATCAACCTAAAGTGCACTTGTGTTCTGCAGCAGGACAATGATCCAAAACACACCAGCAAGTCCACCTCTGAAACGCTTAAGAAAAACAAAATGAAGACTTTGGAGTGGCCTAGTCAAAGCCCTGAACTCAGTCCTGAATCTGATTGAACTGGTGTTGAACTGTGATGTTTTTTTGTTTTTTTGCCTGTCCCGTTTGGATCTTTAGCCATCAAAATTGTTGTCTCAAGGCCAAGAAAAATGCCAAGCAGATTTACTTTACCAATTGGATCATCATGGCTTTACCATATTGGTCCATTTGATTGACCTTTATTATGATTATGTATTTATTTTATTTGGTTTTCGGTTGTTACAGACGGGACAGACATGACTGGGGGATAGGACAGGGAGAAAGAATTTTAAAAAAACGGAGGGAGAGAAAGAAAAATAGAGGGGAGAAGAGACGGTGAAAAAGGGAGAAAGAAAAAAAAAGGAAAAAAATACACAACACCTGGATCACCTGTATGGAGATAAGAAAAAACAGAAAAGAAAACAAACAAGAAAGAGCAACATAATAAAAACAACACCATCACAATAAACTAGCTAACAGTAGATAACAGTAGATACTAAATATTACATGTTGTTGTGCAGCACGCAAGATCGACAGCGCACAATGTGCTTTGAGGTAGCAGCCAAGAAAGGTGTAGTTTGTGTCCGTGAACACCCGTGTGTACACCTGTGAGTACACCTGTGTGGATCAGCACGCTTGTATTCAAAAGGTTTCTCCATGTAATGATCTGCTAGGGAGTGTGGGGAGTCATAGCCCAGTCCCCCAGGGCATGAAGAAGGTATGGAGGTGATCCAGGCCCAGACATCCAGAGGCCCCAGAATAGGACCCAAGGAGGACCGGCAGCCAGCTGTGCCAGAGAGGACCGGGCCTCAGGCCCAGAGGCCAGAGGTCTGAGGGCATCCCACCCCCCGGAAGGGGTCCAGCCGGGCCACAGGTGCCAGGCCCCGCCAATCGGCCACATACATGAGCGCCCAGCCCCAGACACCAAGAACCACCAACACACCAACGTCTGAGGGCATCAGCCACCGGCAGGGAGTGTGGTGAGGGGAGATAGACCCTGTGGTGAGGGGAGATAGGCCTCCATACCTCGAAGAGCCTGAGATATTCCCAGAGAGGTGGAGTCTAAGACCCAAGTTGACATATAGACACAGACGAACAGGCGCACGCAGACACAAACGTGCATTCCCACCTCCAGACAGATATAAATAGACACTGCACACACATTCACACTCCCCAAACATACTCTATATCCCAGGTCCGGGTACCCCTGCCCCCAGAGGGGCAAACCGTACCCAGACCCAGGAGATGTAACCCATCTGTCTGGGGTGGAGCAAAGCAGACCGCCTCCGTATCTACAGTAGCGGGGAGGCCCCGCATCCCAGACCCCAATCCGATGGCCAGCACCTCCTCCCAGCCCCCCAGCCCTGACGGTTAACAGAACGAGGGCATGGTGCTTCCTGCCAGAGAGCAGCACGTCTCCTCCCGAAAACCCTCAGTGTCTATATGCATTTAAAAATGAGGGTAGGGCAGTAGACACCCCCACACTCTGGAACCCACCAGGGCAAGGGGGCCCAGGCTAATGCAGACCGGGGCCCACATCAGCACCACCCGGCCCCACAGAGTCCGGGGCAGCCCAGAAAACTCAGGAGAGTTTTCTCCAAGCATGACATTTCAGACCCAGCAACACGTTCAGACAAAAACTGGTTCACCCGAAAGACAAAACGCCAAAACACATGCCCAATGTGGTGTATGCTGTACAGTGCAGCGAGGAATGCCCAGATCTCTACATTGGAGAGACCAAACAGCCACTTCACAAGTGCATGGCACAACACTGAAGAGCCACCTCCACAGGACAAGACTCAGCAGTCCAGCTGCATCTAAAGGTCAAAGGTCACTCTTTCGAGGATGCCAATGTTCACATTTTGGACAGAGAGGACAGATGGTTTGAAAGAGGAGTGAAAGAAGCCATCTATAATCCAGTTTTGAGATCCCTCCCCAGATGCCTTAACGCCCACTCACATCCTGGGCCATCTGACCTCAGGAATTCGCATGATAAGGTGGGGCCAGGTTTCACAATGTACTCACCCGAAACCCTGGCTGATTGGGACCCACACCCAGTTTCACACCTTGGCTCAGG